TTGCAATTTTCCTGCTGGGCAGCTCGCTGTAGTACAGTGGTTTGCAGCTGATCTAGGTCAGAATTTGAATTCTGATAAACAAGATGTGCGCGTTTTCTTGTTGCCGATTTAAAAGAAAAGCCTTTGCATCATATAAGAAATAAAAATAAGTGCTGGACTATTTATTTATACTCTATACTTGGTGAGTATAATTCATTAATTTTATTATTGACCTTTTTTATTAATTTCTAATTTCTACCAGCAAGTGCATGATTTATTTTTTCTTTGTAAATGTGTAGAAGAGACATATATAGCAAAACTTTACATTAATTGATTTGAATTGAAAAAACATAATTTAAGCATCAAATTGACCTCCTTGATTCAAATATTTGCTGTACATGTACATGTTAATCCTTATATAAAATGTTTCTTTATGAAAACGAAATAACTCGCTCAAAGAGTCCATGATGACATTCCATTGAATTACAATTGGTTTTTCCCCTTGTTGTCTCAAGATTCAGTTTGCGCCGCGCCATTCAACTGATGCTATAATTCATTGTGAATGCTGCTGCTTAAAACAAACTCATTTACTGTGAAAATGTGTGCTGCTTTCAACAAATTCATGAATTGGTCTGCTTTGATTGATTGAAACAAACTCAATTGCTGTGCAAAATGTGTACTGCTTTCACCAAATGTCATGGACAGTGCTTTGCTTGCTAAAATATCTTAAGTAACGTTCGCGGTTTGATAACCCGGAACGAGAACTACATACATATAAACTTGTAAAGTTTATTTAAAATACATGAACATAAAATTTAATTGTAAGGTTATTTACCGTTTGCGGTAAACCCGGAACGGCCATTGTTTTGCTTATTATAAGTACATGTACATGTAATATTTTGCTTGATTGTTGTTGCTGCTGAAATTGTTTGGGGTCGCCCTGCTTGGCACCCCCTCCGTTGCTTTAAGCCACGACCAACAATCGCCAATATATTTATTAAAAATAAACGTGTACAAAATCATGTTTGTTTTATTTTCCTCTATATAAATTAGTGTAATTATTTATAACCGTTCAACTGGGAGTATTTTTATTCTGTGACATTCGACAAGCAATTGACAAACCGAAAACCTTTCTAGCTTATTGCATTAGAATACATAGATTCACTTACCTAGTAAATTGAAATCGCCATGTAATATCTTTTTCATTGAATATAAATAATCATTTCCTTCCAACAACTGTTTCAACATTTTAAATCACGCTTCAGACCTTTTGAATTCACCATTGTTTAACCCAGTCACATTGACGTCTTTGGTGTTTTGGGTATTTTTTTTTTTCAAATTAAAGGTACATCATATTAAAACTGATAAATTTCTGTAGGACATAAAAGGATTTAAAGTAACCGCATTGTTAGATTTGTTAAGTTCTAAAACAATTTAAAAAGCTTATAAATCACGTACCAAGAAGATTATTTGACAAAAGAGCAGATATGGAAAAGAACTAACTTAAAGTTAACTTTGCAATTTGAAGTTGACAAATGTTTTTTGTGATTCAGTTGTCTTCATGTTATGAAAAAATTTATTATTCTATATCCATGTATATCAGACCTGTGTGATCTAAGGGGCTGATATCATTTATTTGTTTAGGGACTTGTTTTTGTATATTCATGATGTGTAGATAATAATACAGCAAATTAAATGACGAAACATTCACAATGCTATACATTTATTATCAAAAATGGTATTTCATTATAAGTTTGTTCAACGGCGTTAAAAAATTCTTCAGTTATTTTTGCTTTCAAAAAACAAAAAGAAGTATTAGAACGAAATATCAATATCAAAAAAAAAAAAAGATTTACATTTTAATTAAAAAAGATTAAAAAACTAAATATGCACTCCAAATGAAGAGCAAATTTTCATTCTTTCATCAAAGTGAATTTCTATATGCATTTGACATCCCCTGTCTACCATAAATTTTATACAAGCTAATTAAAGATATTTTGAAAAGTATTGAAAGAAAATTCCTGTATTTATAAGTATCAGAAACCTTTGTTTGTAGGGAACTAGAGGTTGTGTTGACCTAGTTTTTTTTCAACATTGTATCATATAAAGCATTTTAAATAAAAGGCACTTGATTAAAAATTAGCGCTATTTCTTATCTTGATCCATATATGGATTTATAATAAATTTTTCTGCCGAGAAAACCTTTGTCTGAGATTTATTTCTTTTTTTGTCTTTGCTCTCATTTCTAGATGTCATTCCGTTTTCTTTGCTTGTAGGAGCGTTGTACCATCTGTAGTACACAAAAGAGGGGACCAGGATCTAAGGCCGTGGTCAAGTAATGTCAATCATAAGAGTTTGCCAATAATGTCATACAAAGGTGTTGTCAATTAAAGTCAACCGTAAGAGTTTGTCAATCATGTCATACAAAGACGTGGTCAATGAAAGTCAATCGTAGAAGTTTGTCAATCATGCCATACAAAGGCGTGGTCAAGTAATGTCAATCATAGCAATTTTTTATTCAAAGACTGGTTAACAATTGATAATCAAAGGAATTAATCCAACTGTCTATGGACGTTTAAGCTTACTGTTAGAAATACTTATATTTATTGTGCTTACATTTGATTTTGAAACTTTATTTGTAGCAAAACCCATAATATAAATATTTTATGTATCAAATTGGAATAGTTACTACTCGCTTTCACTGTAGACTGCCGAAAAAATCCCGTTATTTTAATACATGCATTATGTTAGAGTGCATGTGACATGTTTGTTGTTGTTTCTTACCCATAAAAGTAAATACTTTTAATTATTGCACTGCCTGTAATGAAAATGAACAATTTAAATGTGGTATCATGAATAAGTATTTTCATCTTACAGTTAATCTGTTATTTTGTAAATAATTGTGCAATTTTTATTGCGATCCAACACCCCCGGAGAGGGTACAAAACTGTAATTAATATAAGAAAACAGATTCTACAATATAAATCTTACTGATGTACATGACAAATTCAATAATGATCAACAAATTTTCAAATAAATGCTAGTACTTTTAAGAATGTACAGTATATTTATAGCAAAACATGACCTTAATTCTATGAAATAATTTCCAGGTTTGTTTACATTATGTTCGAGCAATAGAATTTCTGAAATAAGGTTTTAAACAGTAAAAAATTACAATATTCATAATAACAGTAGTAATTCATACAGTTACACTTTCTCTGTGAAGGGCCAAAACTCCTAAATTCTATAAAAAGTTGAGGTACATTTTTACAGCAGCATGCTTCTAACGTTTTCTTAACGATCTACAAACTTCCGGTTACATTAAAATTAAAGCAAACAAAAACGGAATGAAAATTTCCGGATTGTGCGTCACCACACTCCCCTCGTAGTGCATTCTAACTGAAGGCGCTACACATAACCAAAAATAATGAATAATCATGTTCCTATCCTGACAAATGTTTGATACATAAAACATCCTATCAATCTGATTAGACAATCTCAACATGATAAAATAAGTAATACATAGAGTCAATCTTGTATCAGTGGAACAAGTTCACATATTGGACGGATGAAGCATCTTCTGTCCTTAGCGACACGAATCTCTACAGTACGCACACGGTTATCATCACTCGGAAACACTTTCTCCACCACAGCTACGGGCCACTGATTCCGCGTCACCTCATGGTCCTTTAACAACACGATATCCCCTTCTTTAAAGTAACGTTCTATTTGTGTCCATTTGCGTTTACTCTGTAAGTTCGACAGGTACTGCTCTCGCCATTTCTTCCAAAATTCTTGTGATAAAACAACCACATGTTTCCACTGAGACCGATATGCTTCTCGAAGATCCAACTCTGGTAAGTCTTTTGGCAGGGTACTGCTATCCATTTTCTGTGTAAGCAAAATGTTAGGGGTCAATACAGATGAGTCCTCAGGATTAGTTAAAACCGCAACTAAAGGTTTTGAGTTAACAACTGAGCAGACCTCAGCCATAAATGTAGTAAGAACTTCATAGGTGATTCCTTTAGATTCCGTGCGTGACAACATGCTGTCCAAAATTCTCCTTGTAACTCCAATCATCCTCTCCCATGCCCCTCCAAAGTAGGAGGCATGGGGAGGGTTGAAAATCCATACAGCCTGGTTTCTAGTCAGAAAGTTTTGGATAGGGGCATCTTCCACAAATATGGAGTCCATACCAATCACGTTCACTGCCCCGACAAAATTAGTTCCACGATCCGATCTGAATTGTCGTACAGGGCCACGGATGGATATGAAGCGCTTGAGTGCATTAATGAAGGAACTACTGCTTAGCTCCTCTATCACTTCAATGTGAATGGCACGACAAACAAGACAGGTGAATAATATTGCCCATCTATTTTGGTTAGCCTGTCCTCCTCTCGTACGTCTTGCTACCACATTCCACGGGCCGAAAGTGTCTACCCCAACAAAGGTGAACGGTGGAGATGGTGTGATTCTGTCCTCAGGAACATCAGCCATAATTTGTGTCCCGAACCTTCTTCTCAGCTTTCTACATATAACACAAGAATTTCATTTCATATTTTTTTTATTCAGGTAAAAATATCACAGAAAGTCATGATTCACAAATTAAAACATTACAGACTAGCATACTACTAGAAAAAAGAAAATACACACACATTATCTCAGCACTATGCTAATTAAGAAAGATCAATTTAACATATATATGTAATTATTATTAAATACATTGCATGACATACAGTTGATAAATATTACCTGAGGATAGTCCATAAAAGCCTTATTAAAAAGCTTATTTCCAATGGGGTCCTCAATTAACAGCCATGTTAGTAAACAAAAAATAACAAAATTACATAAAACATTGGAATTTAGGCATGTACTTTTATGAGTATGGCATAATGCTTTGAAAAATGACATGTTTACAGTAGCATGTTTTGTCTTGGTAATTATCACAAAATGCTTATGATACTAAAATAATAAATAAACAATAAAATTAGACAAGCATTTTTAAGTAGTAACACTAGTATTTATAATGAATGAATAAGCGATGTGACCTTCCGCTTACAACCGATAATCCAGTAGCCAGCTGTACGAATCTTCCCCTCAGTGATATGACGTCCCTGATGGTGGACTCTCTCATGAAAATGATGAATAATTAGACCAGCAATGTGACTATTTTTTGGTATTATAACTGGATGAATTTCTAAACAGGTATATTTCCTCCCTTGTCGTAATCTTCCACCAACTCTCATGATGCCATTCGAGTCCAGTATTGGAGACAGTGATAGTAGAACGTGTCCTGTGCAGTTCTCTCCCCTCCTTAAGAGCACTAACCTCACTAGGAAAGCATGCCTGTTGAACTTGCTGTATAACAAACAACTCAGCTTGAGTAAGTTCGATGTCGTTACAGGTGTCACAAGTGATTCTCGAGTTTCTAAAGATTTTCTGTATGATTTGGCTAGACGTTTGATCCTAGCTATAGCTCGTACAAGGCTCCGCCAAGTGGAAAATCTTTCAAATCGATGAACACCTATAACTGTCTCTTGTGAAGCAGAAGTCATCTTCGTAACTATAACAGGTCTGACTTCTTTATCTTCTTCTGGGTCTAGCAGCTCATATGAAGTTTCTCTGTGATCTAGTGGATGTTCACTCCTTAAAACTGAAGGTCCTTGAATCCATGCGCTTTGTTCAATTTCATTAGCAGGGATAGACCTCGTACCTATATCAGCAGGGTTGTCCTCAGATGACACATAGGTCCACTGGTCTGATGTGGTAGAATGACGAATAACGTCAACACGGTTTCCATACACATAAAAGCGTCTATGTTCATTGTTTATATACCCGAGTACAACTCGGCTGTCTGTGTACATTGTAGTAGAGTCAATGTGTACAGTCAAGTGTTGTGTTATGGTGTCTTTTAGCCTTGTGGCAAGTACGGCTGCGCACAATTCTAACCTAGGAATAGTTTGGCCCTGTGAGGGAGCCACTTTTGCCTTTCCGTGAACAAAGCTGACGTGATGACCTCCACTGACGTCATATATCTTCAAATAAGCTACCGCACTGATCGCCTTCTGCGAAGCATCAGAAAAGACATGAAGTTCCGTACGCTCTACTTCAGATGACGGTAAGTTGACATAATATCTAGGTATGAGAATGGACTGTAAGTCGGCAAGGGATTCCAACCAGTTATGCCATTTTGCCTGGAATGCATGTGGAATAGGTTCGTCCCAATCTGTCACAGATGACATTATGTCCTGCATGATTAGTTTGCCTCGAATGGTTACTGGCACCACAATTCCAATCGGATCATATAGACCATTAATAGTTGCCAGAACGCCTCTTTTGGTGAATGGCCTGCGGGTAGAAGTCACTTGAAATGTGAATGAGTCTTTGGAAATATCCCAGCTGATCCCCAAACTTCTCTGAAGTGGTGCTTCACTTAAATCTAGCTCAATGCCTGTGACTTCTTTGGCAAGGTCCTCTTGAGGGAAGGCTTTGATCACATCCAGACTGTTCGACGTAATTTTGCGTAAACGAATATTTCCCTCTTTCTTAAGAGTTGTCTGAGTGCGGGACAATAGGTTCACAGCTTCATCACTGCAGTCAAAGGACATTAAGCCGTCGTCCACATAAAAATTTCGGTACACAAAGCTCTTCACATCTTCCTCTGCGTCACTTACACATTTTCGCAGTCCACAGGTTGCCACAGCAGGCGACGGGCTGTTTCCGAACACATGTCTGGTCATTCTGTATTCAATCATGTCTTGGCTTGGGTCATTGTCTTTATACCACATGAATCTTAAATAATCCCTGTGTTTTTCCGGAACTGAAAAGCGATAGAACATTTGTTCTATGTCTGCAGTTATTGCAACAGGATGTTACCGGAATATTAGTAGTATGCCTAAGAGTGAGTTCACGAGATCTGGTCCTGTTAGTAACACATCATTTAGACTGATCCCTTCGTATTTAGCTGAAGAGTCAAACACACAACGCACACTTCCCGGCTTCTTGGGGTGGTACACAGCGAATAATGGCAGGTACCAGCATTCAGTATTTGAGTCTAATTCTTGAGCCGGTTCCGCATGTCCATTTTCTAATATTTTCTTCATGAAACCAATAACATGATCCATCTTTTCAGGATTTTTTCTTAGATTCATGTCCAGTGAGTGGGCTCTTCTAAGGGCCTGAGGTTTGTTATTCGGTAGATACTGACGATTCCTTCGGAACGGAAGGGGCGCTGTCAAAGATCCATCGGGACCTTTGTACATTTCTGTATCCATGAGATTCAAGAAGTCTTTATCTTCTATTGAGAGTCCAGGAATGTTATCTTCCTTTGTCCTTGAGAAAACACAACTATCCTCAACGTGAATGTTGTTATAGCATGGCTCAAGAAGAGTAGTTCTACCATCTTTCAAGGTGAAGGTCTTCATTACTGAGATAGAGTCTTGCTGATGAGCTGTGCCTAGACACACATTTCCAATGATGACCCAGCCCAACCGTAACCTTTGTGCGAATGACGTGTGTATAGGTCCTAAACATTGTTCTAAGACATGATGAGCCGGTAGTAAATCCCTTCCAATGAGTAGTAATATTTCAGCATTTTACTGGATAGGAGGGATGAACTTAGCGATGTCTTTCAGATGACTAAATTGTTTGGCCACCAATGGAGATGGTATCTCATCCCGAATGTTCGGTATTTGGTCACATTCTATGAGCATGGGGAGATCCATCTTACAGCCTGAGTCAAAAGATTCTATAGTGAAGTCTGAACATCGTCTACCAAACTCTGTTGTGTTCCCATTGCAAGATGATAGCGAGTATGGTATCTCGGGTCCTGAGATAGCGAAGAGGTCAAAGAATGCTGACCTTGCTAGAGAGCGGTTGCTCTGTTCATCTACAATGGCGTATGTAAGAACGGCTTTTTCTGGACATTCTCTGGGATATACTTTCACTAATACAGTCTTAGCACAAGACTTGCTTGCACCTGTTCTTCCACAAACCATGGAGCAGGCTGATGTCACTTCTTCTGTTGTAGTCTTAGCAAGATAGTTCTTGTTACAGTCTTGATCACTGTTAGTAGGCTTGTCTATATGTAAAGCTGTTGGGTGATTGGTTGCCCTACACACACTACACATCACAGTTGAGCGACAGTCCTGAGCTAGGTGACTCCTCTGACCACAGCACTTGAAACAAAGTCCTCTACTCCTTAAGAAGTTTAGTCGTTCCTGTAACGATTTCTCACGAAACTGGTTACACTTGTTTAAACTGTGGTTTGTTTTATGTAAGGGACATATAGTCACAGCTGATGTCTTAGTTTCTGACACAGAGTTCGAGACTGGCACATCCACCTTCTTGACAAACACAGAATGAGATGAAGTCTGAGGTTTCAGTTTGCATGGTCTTGTGTCTTCATAAGCGAAGGATGGGTCATTTTTTACTCTTGCCATCTTTTCCAGAAATTGTGAAAATATGTGGAATGGTGGAAAAGCCAGGTTGTGTTGCTCTTTGTATCTGCTTGCCTCATTGGTCCACTTTTCCTGTAACTGATAAGGAAGTTTATTGACAATTAAGTTAACTCCAGCTGAAGAGTCATATGAAGCAAAGAGACTACAATACTGTTCATCTTTCTTTAAAGAATCAATTTCCACCACGATGTCCACAAGTTCATATAGTTTTTTCACTTCCTTGCTTGCTATCTTTGGAAAAGACATAAGTTTCTGTTTGATAGAGGATTCGACTAATTCTGGCCTTGCGTAACGTTCATTCAATCTCTGCCAGATCCTGTCTCTTGCTCGAGAAGAATCACTGTAGTTGGCTGACCGGATACTCATAGCTGATTTTTTTGACTCGGGTCCTAAATACTGAATAAGCAGGTCAACTTCTTCTGCCGAACTTAGATTCAGTTCTTTTACTACACTCACAAATGTTGTTTTCCATGAGCCAAAGAATTCTGGTCTGTCGTCAAATTCATGAATCCTCTTCAAAAGCATGTCCTTCTTCACCATGAATTTAGAGAATTCTTCACACATATTTCCTTGTCTTGGAATGAATGGGGGAGATTCCGCGTTCAACATGTTTAATGGTGTAACTCGAGTTCCATAATGGTCACTGTCATAAGCAGGTTCTTGAGTTTCGAGTGGCGAGCTACATGAACGTGACTTCTGATTTTGTTCTTCAACGTACTGCTTTACACGGGACTCTCGAGTGTCTGTTAATTCGTTCTCATCAGGCTCCTCCTCTTCTTCACTTGATGCCAAGTCAATGCATTCATTCAAAGCATTTAATCCTTGAGTGCACTCCTCATATTGTCTTTCTTTGTCCAGAATAGACATCCTAGCTTCCAGTGCAGCCTTTTCTTTCAATAATTCTGCTTCTTCTTTTGCGTATTTCAATTTGACACGAGCTTCTTCAACCTTGGTTTTCTGTTTAAGGTATAATGAACTTACACTGGTCAGATTTGATAGTTTGGATAACTTTGAGAGCTTAACTTTTACACTTCGCCTGTCTTTGTATTTTTCTACTTTCCTTTCATAAGTCTGTTCAGCCTTTTCTGAAAGTCCTTGCTGCTGTTCCATTTCCGTGGAAGGTTTTCCATCTGCCATTCTGATTAAGCTTGGCGCCTAGATTTTGTACTGTGCAATTTTTATTGCGATCCAACACCCCCGGAGAGGGTACAAAACTGTAAACAATATAAGAAAACAGATTGTACAATATAAACCTTACTGAAGTACATGACAGATTCAATCATGATCAACAAATTTTCAAATAAATGCTAGTACTTTTAAGAATGTACAGTATATTTATAGCAAAACATGGCCTAAATTCTATGATCTAATTTCCAGGTGTGTTTACGTTATGTTCGAGCAATAGAATTTCTTAAATAAGGTTTTAAACAGTTAAAAATTACAATATTCATAATAACAGTAGTAATTCATACAGGTACACTTACTCTGTGCAGGGCCAAAACTCCTAAATTCTATAAAAAGTTGAGGTACATTTTTACAGCAGCATGCTTCTAACGTTTTCTTAACGATCTACAAACTTCCGGTTACATTAAAATTAAAGCAAACAAAAACGGAATGAAAATTTCCGGATTGTGCGTCAACACAATTATATTTAAGAGATACAGTACCCGCATCGTTATTCTTTACAGGATACACGATACGATAGGATACACGCACGATACGATAGGATACACGCACGATAGGACAGGATACACGCACGTTAGAATAAACGAAAAACACGATAAACGCAAAACACGATACACGCAAAACACGATACACACAAAACACGATAGACCTGATAAACGATCTTCACGATAGGATAAACGCAAAACCTGATAGGATTGTTTCAAAATGCGGAACGTTTTCTCACAAGACGAAAACTTTATATGATTTTGTTTAGTTACTGCAATATTTTAATTTAAATACTTTCAAAGCTGCAAATCTAAATAATGATGTACTTTTAATTATCATAATAAAAAATGAGCTCACTTAAAATTTCACACAAGTTATTTATTTATATAATTTTTTGGCAACGATTGAATAGATTATCATGAAATGGTGACTGTATTTTATTTTAATTTCTACTCCAGGGTGTAGATTTATGATAATTTATGTAAATGTTGAAATTCTCATCTTAAGGTTGAACTATGAGTCATTTAAAAATGAATATTTTAACATAATTGTAATAGTTGCACAAAAATCCCTCACATGATTATGTGCCGTTTCTCACGGGTACTTTTATAAATTTATGAAACTATATATACATTTATTATTTTTGAAAAAAAGTATAATTTTGTATCTAATAAATTTACCTACATGTACCAAATTATATATATCGGAAGAAATTTACGCAATAAAATAAATATTCGTATTTCATGTCTATAGCTGAAAATCTGCGGTGTATCCAAAAATCGCAATTAGATATTAAAATCTTAGGGGAAAAATACATGTAGAGAACCGGCCGAAAGAAAGGTCCAAAAAATCGGCTTGAAAAAACTATATACTTAAATAAAATTAATTTCCTGACTTGAAATCTAAATTATTGTTAATATAATGGCGCTCTGCATTGATACATGTAAACTGTGTCAACAGAATATGAATCTGCTACAACTGCACATGTACATGTACGTTTACGCTAAGTTCTCGTTTATGTGCATGTTAACAGTCACCCAGATAGCAAGACTATGTTGGGCCAACATTGGCAAAAGGTTGTATGGTTGGCGTTGGGGGAACAACGTTGGGCCAACGTTGGACCAATGTCACAATGCCAACCTTCACGACCATGACAGAATTCCTATGTTGGCCCAACGTTGGTCCAACGTTACCAACTTCCATTTACTTTACTTCCAAGGAAGGAGGGATGTCGATGTTGGCAAAACGTTAGCCAATTGTTTGTAATACACTCTTAAAGAAAGTGTCTTTTAACGTAAGTAGTAGTATGTTGGCCCAACGTTGGCTCGATGATTGTAATACACCCTTAAAGAAAGTGTCTTTTAACGTTGGTAGTAGTATGTTGGCCCAACGTTGGCCCGATGATTGTAAAACACCCTTAAAGAAAGTGTCTTTTTAAGTTTGTAGTAGTATGTTGGCCCAACGTTGGCCCGACGTTTGTAATACACCCTTAAAGAAAGTGTCTTTTAACGTTGGTAGTAGTATGTTGGCCCAACATTGGCCCGATGTTTGTAATACACCCTTAAAGAAAGTGTCTTTTAAAGTTGGTAGTAGTATGTTGGCCCAACGTTGGTCCTATGTTTGTAATACACCCTTAAAGAAAGAGTCTTTTAAAGTTTGTAGTAGTATGTTGGCCCAATCACGAAGCCCGATCACGAAGCCCGATGTTTATAATACACCCTTAAAGAAAGTCTCTTTTAAAGTTGGTAGTAGTATGTTAGCCCAACGTTGGCCCTATGTTTGTAATACACCCTTAAAGATTGATTGATTGATTGTATATTGTTTAACGTCCCTCTTGAGAATTTTTCACTCATATGGAGACGTCACCGTATGCCGGTGAAGGGCTTCAAATTTAGACCTATACTCGGCACTCAGGGCCATTGAGCAGTGAGGGTTCTTTATCGTGCCAGCGCCTACCGTGATACGGGACCTACGATTTTAAGGTCATATCCGAAAGACCCGTGACTTTCACTTCTAGTGCCGAGCGCTTAGCGAAGGAACAGTCACTACCTTTGTTTACGTCTTAGGTATGACGCGGCGCCGCGAACGAGAATCGAACCCGGGCCTCCCGATCACGAAGCGAACGCTCTACCACTAGGCTACCGTGACCGGTCACCCTTAAAGAAAGTGTCTTTTTAAGTTGGTAGTAGTATGTTGATCCAATGTTGGCCCGATGTTTGTAATACACCCTTAAAGAAAGTGTCTTTTAAAGTTGGTAGTAGTATGTTGGCCCAACGTTGGCCCGATGTTTGTAATACACCCTTAAAGAAAGTGTCTTTTAAATTTGGTAGTACATGTAGTATGTTAGCCCAACGTTGGCCAAATGTTTGTAATACATCCTTAATAAAGTGTCTTATCAAATTGGTAGTAGTATGATGGCCCAACCTTGGCGCAAAGTTTGTTATACACCCTGTAAGAAAGTGTCGTATCAAATGGGTAGTAGTATATTGGCCAAATGTTTGTAATATACCCTAAAATAATGTCTTATCAATTTGATAGTACATTGTAGTACATAAATGTTGGCCCGATGTTAGCACGAGTGATCTTTTGTTTAGGTGTTTCAAAGATGGGATACATGTATTCATATTAGGCCAACGCTGGCCCAATTATTATACTGCCAACTAAAGATGATGTCAATTTTAGCTGCTGAGCTGATATTTTATGTCCATGCTTTTAATTGGATGACTGTTTTTTGTTTAAATCTGATATATTCAACATTTTAAATTTTAACTTAAGTGATCACAGCACCAAAGAGGGTTTTATTATATTTTTTGAATTGTGCACATGCATGGTTATTTATTTGAAATAAAACCCCTGAAATTATGAATTTTTTCATGAGCGTTGTATTCATGAGAATTTAGAGAAGACTGAAAACGTTCTCAGGAACAGGGTGTGAATGAAGCCTACATAAACATAAATCAAAATGACACAGCTTTATAATCAAATTGAAACCAAAGTTAGGCGTTCGCTATCACGTGACCAAACTGTGGAGTGAGCTGTCAGATTCAATTGCTCACAGGTGGTAATAATGCAGGGCAAGCAAGAAGAATAAGTGAAATTTAAATTTGTTGATTATACACTTGCTATACAGTTGCATTTAGAAGCCATGTAAGTATATTTATTCTTATTTATTCAGGTTAACTATTAAAATTGACTTGGATTTCATTTTTGTAATGTTTTTGCACACAAAGTTGTAAGTTGTTTCTAGCTATCTAATTCTTAACTGTCTATTACAGACACGATTGTAACAAAGAAATTCAGACAGAGACTGCAAGGAAAACAAATGGTGTGGCGGTATATATAAATTACGATGAAATCGAAGACCATGCATAAAGAAGTGTAGAAAGTATGAGTCCATATGACAAAGATCAAGATGAAGAAAACAGGGGGCGACGAAGGGACGGAAAAAGAACCGGAATACAACAAAAGGACTATAATAAAGGAAGTGAGCCCTGATTAAGAACTTTTAATTGATAATTTTTCATACTTTGCCTCTATTGTCTATTTTAAAATTTATTTTGTAAATTATGATTGAATTGATGTATATAAAGTATTATCACAGTGAATCATTACTATAATGTTTTCATTGAACATGTCCATGCCCAGATAGCATGAGGACATTGGCCCAACGTTGGCCAAACAATGTCGGTTATGTTGGGCCAATGTTGGCAGTTTTACGTTGGCCCAATGTCTTACTGCTCATTGGCGCGCAGTTGGCCCAACATGTTGGGCCAATGTTGGTACAATACTGTTTGTTCATTTGTCAACGTTGGTACAACGTTATTCCAACATACCAACGCCAACGCAATATTTTTTTAACGTTGGCCCAACGTTGGACCTCAGTTCAAAATATAATCATGACGTTGGTCCTACGTTGGTCCAACGCTTTTGTTGAAATGCCAACGTTGGTACAACGCTATTCCAACGTACCGATGCTAACCAAATATTTTGTAACGTTGGCCCTACATTGGACCTCAGTTCAAAATATAGTTATTACGTTGGTTCAACGTTGATACAAAGCTGATTCTTGAAATATCAATGACACAATTATTCCTCAATACAAATGTCTCACAAAATTAATTAAATTCTGTAATTTTTATTTCCCAGATTATACGACACAATTAATTTCACCATGTTTGGTCAAATACTTTTTTCCTCCTAAAATGTATCACAATATATTCTTTGCCACTTTCACTTTCATTAAAGTACTCCATGGAATGTAACTAAAAGAAGGAAGAGGTAGAAAGTTCAATGTTTCTCAAGTACACTCCACATCACTATGTCCACTACTAAATATCACTTTGATATAAGAGTCTTCAAGTTTTAATTGTAGAGTTTTGGAAGGTCATATTTGAATCACTTATCACTTTTTCTGTTGTTTAACTGTTCTTAGAATCCATGTTTCCCACACATATAAATCAGTCCCTTCCATATACAGAAAATTCCACATCAATAGTCTCAGAGTGAAGAAGGTTTTTCCATCCCGGCAATTCCTGCAAACGTTAAGATTGTCATCAATTAAAATAGTATTTTCAAATGTTCATCAGCATCACACATATTTTTAAAAGAATCCTTAAAATTGAATTTCACATTAGTAATTATTAATAACAAATACAAAATAGTTACTTACATTTCACTGGTTAACATTCTTGCGTTCACTTACAGATCCGGACATATCTGCTCTGTTCAAGCCCGCCAATTCCTATAAAAGTTAAGGTCGTCATCAATTACAATTGTTTAATCAGCTACCTGGTACCAATAATTTGAAAGCCTACATGCAGGCCATTACAATGTTGTGTATTTCACATTATTAATAAACAAAAGCTATACTTACATTGAAAGGATTAAAATTATTGCTTTCACTTAAACAGACACATACGCTTTGAATTGTTAAAGTGCGCGGTTAAAAGATGACGGTTTCCTTGGAG